GCAAGGACTTCATTCTGTCTGTTTCACTTCTCATTAACCCATTTCACACTCCACCTTGTAATCCCCCCGTTTCAAACAATATTTTTGCTCTTAGCTTTCAGTTGAACAAATGAGGCCTTTAATTGTAACAAAAAAAAGGAATTAGTAATTAATGTTAATTATGTTTTACAAATAAGTTTTATCACAATTATGTTTATTTAATCGAAACCACTTTAACAATAACATTCTAATAAAAAGTAAAATTTCAAAAAAGAAAAACATATGCGGAGCATACACTGCTTTCACTTACTACACTACTCTCAATATAAATTAATTTGTTTTAAAGTTAATTAACCTTAAGAATATCACTTTAATTATGAGTACAAACTTGAGACAGTTAAAATAAATTCTGACATTTCAAAACATATATTTAGTTTATCAAGCTGGAAAAAATAAAGTTTGTTTATTTCCCATTCACTAATATTAAAGTAGACCGTATTTATTACAACAATTAAAAGTCATTAATTAAATATTCGTCACTCTTCATTATTAGCTTTCCGTTACATTTTTACGCCTTTATTACTTACTACTCATATTTCGTAAAAATTCGTTTTCAGAGTGCGAAAATATTTCTCACATTTTGTATTAGAACTGTGAACTGTGAACAATCCATAAGAACCTGTCTGTTGTTAGCTCGAAATCCTGCACACAGTATCCAGTCGATCCGAACAAATTAAATTCCTTTTTTACTAACCATTTTCCGATTTCCGGTGAATCCAGCACCAATGAACAGCGATTTATGCTGAGTTTAGGAACGACCTGCTGGATTCCAGGGGATGATAGACACTCCGGCAAGCAGTGCCGCCTTGATGGGGAGTCTCTGCGCAATTTCTGTTACATGTATGTTTAATTATAGTTAAAATTTTATTTTATCGTAAATTTGTTATTTAAAATGTAAATATTAAAATATAACTTTTTTTATTTATGATTTTTTTTACAACGATTAACCTTTTGAAGTACCTTTGGCCACCAAGCCTTCCTCTACATCTTATAATCATCTCGAAGAGGCCAAGTTTTTTACATAATTCACTTTCTATAGGAATAATTACAAGTGCATTTAACCTCTCCTGTGTTTAAACGTCTAAGGTGACTAAGTGTTTAGCCTCATATTTTTATTATAAATACTACTTATTCCCTTGTGTGACTCAAATGCTTACAGTCAGTGTGCCAAATTGTATACCTTAATCATTTTGTGTTCCGTCGGATTCATACCAGCCTACTTATTTTAGTTTTCAGTGCTTTTTTTTAAAAGAAACTTGCTGTTTGAATTAGATGAAACTTTGTATATAATAAGTCACGTTATGCTACATGGGCTGTCGATCTGCAAGTACTAAATTGTTGAAAGCTTCTATCGCTACGAATTTTCTTTAAAAATATATATATTAAATCAAGAGAGGTTTAGTTATAAGTTTTTTTATGTCGTCCATAAGCACGACAGATAATGGTTATCCTCTCAACAAAATCATTGCTTAATCGTTAAAAAATAAGTGGGGATAATTATTATATTTATGTGTCCGTAATTGAGCTAAAAATACAGTTTCTTTCAAATGTTGTCGTTCCTCAAAAACTACCGCCCAAGAAAACTGTCTGATCTGCCTGCGCTTAAATCCACCAAACAGAAAAAAATCAATCCGTCATTCAAAAAGTTAATAGATATCCTAACTACACTCAACATATTTTTTTACGGATATTATTAGCTGCAATTTTTTTTTCATCAAAAACATTTTTTTGGACCCCGATGCGGCGGAAAATATATTTGAAAATTTAGGATATACGTTCCTACTGAATTCTTGAATTTCAAAATATAAACAAATTTAGGCAGAAAATAAGCTAAATATAAATATTGTAAGTAAATTGAGAAATTACATCACTGAGGTTATAAAGAAGTAACATCTACCGGATCCATCAACCCAATAGCCGATAGATCCACTGAGCAATCATAGACGACGAACTTAAGTACCGTTTGATATATTTTAATGTCATCGATGAGATCACCGCTGAGTTTAGAAACTTGGCCCGTTTCAATGAGGATAAGCCTAACTGATATTAAATACTAAATACCATTTCATTTTACAAAGACCTAACGAGTTAAGTCAAAATCGTTAGAGATATTTTCTCTAAAATCGTAAAGATATGTCAATTCAATTATATAACGTGGGACTTCTGGTTAGTTGATTAATTCAAAAAAATTGCTTTAGAATCCCAGTGTATTCCTATTGGGATTGCTTTTTACTCTTTCATAGAGAAGGATTTAACAATGGACCGTTACGCCAACTGGCCATCCCTAAACGCCGGATTTTCCCCTTTGTCAATTACTTTTTCTCTTATAAGTAATAGTGATTAATATTTTGGTATTGAGCAGTAATAATGTCAGCTTCTGAATTTGAAAAAAGTTCAGAAGTGAGTTCTTCACGAAAATATTTGTTACAGTCGTGGAATGTTTAAGAAAAAAAAATATTTCTAATAAATCTAGAGAAAAGTATATATTGTTACGTTTGTGATAAAACGATAATTTCATCATTTATTTAATTTATGATTATTTTGTACTTTTACCTTCTAAATATAAATACATTGAAGTACCTCAACGAATTTTAAAATATCTCATCACGTTTTGCACTGTTAGATTTAGGAAATCGTTTATTTTTCTGTTCTGCGATATATTTTAAAACAGTTTTATTTCTGAAACATTTTTAAATTTTGGTTAAAAGAAAAATTTAGGCATAAGTGGTAATTCTATAGTATTTACCGATTGTAAATCTTTACGTTCGGCGAGAAAACATATAGAGGACAATTTTATATTTAAAATAAAAAGATCCTATCCTTTACACAGTTTATACAGCTGATATCCCAACCCAGTCACACCACTTAAGCTGATGACACGCATATCCTATCAGTTAATAACGATCCATCAATTGTATCCCAAGCTCTTCAATCAAATATCACAAGTCTTGATGAATGGTGTCAAAACTGAAGGATTAAAATAAATTCCAATAAATCCCATCAAATTACCTTTGATTTCCTTCATGACTTCCTGTCCTACAGCATCCTTTAACAATACCCCACTTATCCCTGTTGAACAAATTTGATACTTAGGACTCCACCTGGACAAAAGACTCACTTGGAATCCTAATACCAGACTGAAATGACTAGAAACCACCCGTCGTTTTCGACTACTCAAGCACTTACTAGACAAACGCTTTAAACTTCCAATTATTTACAAACGACTCATATATATTACAATAATAAGGCCTATTTAGAGTTACGGGATCGAGCTTTGGGGCTTTACTAAACCATCAAATTCCTCTTGTATCCAATCCTCGCAATCCAAAATCCTCAATACTCCCTACTTGCTCACAAATAAAATCATCCATAACGACCTCAATGTACCATATGTTTCCGATTTAGCTCAATCCATATACCGTTCCTTCCATAATAAACTTCTGAACCATCTGAACCCTCCGAGGCGTCTGAAAAGAGGATGGCCTCGGGACCTTCTAATATAGAACTATAATTGGAGTGGTACTGATGAGTAGTTTCTCTTTTCATTTTTAACGTAAATGTTTCATTTGACTTTGAGAAACCAGACATTATTCATTTGAAAATATATCGTATGTCGCTGAATTCTGAGACATTTTCAAAAAATGTAGCAAAAATTATTCTTCACAAACATATAAATATTCTTGTTATTAAGTAATGTTAATTCTTAAAATTCTAATTTTTATTCTTTTTTTAAATTTTTAAAAACATTCTATTACTCAGTGCCATCCTTGGGACCAGGAAAAAAAAAAATATAACAAATCTTATGAGAAAATTAATTTTAATCTACTAATTCAGCAACTAAATGGACTGCGTAGTGCATCTGTCATGTCTTTAAAGATGAAGAAACAAGCAACTGAATTTGAGAAATATTGAATGAAATAAAATTCAAATTAATTAGTCATTAACGTCATTCTTAATTTAAGACGGAGTTAATCGGGGGGGAGGGGGGGGGGTGGTGCGATCAAGTAAATTCTAAATTATAGAAATAGTATTATTTAATTATTATGCCGACGTTTCGACCCACCTTGCAGGTCTTCATCAAGACGTGGGATATGGCATTGATATATAATTCTTAATTAATCAAAAATTCGTAATTAATAAGAAATTATTTTATTTTCATTTTTAAAGGGGGTGCGCCGAATTTCTAAGGCTGTTACTGATGTTACTATTCTGTTTTTGAATTTTTATTTAAATTGTTCATGTTTAACAATGATTGTACTTTATAAGTACGAATATATTTGCTCTAATTTTCAAAAAATGTTTTATATTTTTTTTTAATATTCTGGCATTTTGCTCCATGGCCTAGTAGCCCTATTATGCACAAGGTAAATAACAATTTTAAGATCTTAGATCTAAAATTAATTTTTACAATCTGTTCATTGGAAAATAAAGAACTTCAGATCTTCTCTCTTATTATTATTGAATACACAATAAAGTAAGTAGTTAAGTTCTCTGAACTAAAAATGAATATGACTTGTCTGGAAGTTTTAGTACGTTGAGGCTTTGTTATTGAGTTTTTGTTGTACTAAATATTTATTGGAGTAAATTGTTATCCTTTTTTTTTTTTTTACAAATTACATGAGTAAAACTTATCTGTGTGTTATAATATTAGGAATACAAAAATAATGAAGTGCCATAGATTTTTTTTTCATATTAAATAATCTGTGCACCATTCTTTAGCAAAATTTAGAAGTTTCCAAGTACCACAGATATAATTTCAGGTTTATTGTTGTTTTGTATCATTTCAAATATGTGATTGATTTGAATTTCAAATCTTCAATTAATAATAAACGTTATTATATTTCAGAGATGAATGTCTTGATAGTTATACTAATAATTATATTCTCATTTTGCTATTTGTTTTTTTTTTTTATGATGTTTCAATTAAGTAATAGTATTAATTTTTATATGTGAATTTTTAGAAGACTTGGCACCAAGTGAACTTAAAAAACTTCGAAATAAACAAAGAAAAGCTCAAAGAAAGGCAGAACTTCAACAAGCTGAACTAACTGCTGCTGCTGAAAAAAGAGAGCAGCATAATAAATCACGTCAAACTGCAAATGATCAGGAAAGTGATTCTATTCCACAAGATGAACTCATTCCTGATAAATTAGCTAGGGTTGGTACTGTTATTACTATGCATATATGTTTTTTATTTTAGAAAAGACTATTTATTATTTAAATTTGTCAGGAAAGCAATTTACTGTTTATAATTAAATTATTAATGATAGTTATTGTTATCATTGTTGTTGAGACTTTGAAATTCTATTATTGATTTCATTATTTACAACTTAAAATGAATTCCTTTAATTGATATTAATTATAATGTTCTGTGTACAGGCAACATATATACATATAATTTTTATTTTATGGACGTGTCTGCCATACCTATCTTTCCTACCTTTGCTACATTTTTCATTACAATGTTTGGTTCATTCTGTAAGAAGTTACCATTTAATTAAAAAAAATAAAAATAAATAATAAGATATTGTATTCAAAATCTATTGTATAGACAAATTGTGTGCCTTCTTAAAAAGTTTCCAATTCCTATAAGCACCTCATTTTTATATGTGCTAGGAATTTTCTGTTCTTTACTTACCATTTATGATTTATATATCTCTATGTTTACTTTAAAGATTATTGTTATTTGATCTTAATCTAAATATGATAGTGAAAGTTTAATTTTGTTTATTGGTTACCTAAGCAGAAATTCTAATCATCTTCATTAAATACTATGTATTATTATTTTTATTACTAAAATAGATTTTTTTTTTCTTTTACAGGTTTCTGATCCACTTGAGCAAGCAATTAAATTTTTATGTCCTCTGCAAACTTTGGCATCAAACAATGTTAACACACATCTGATGGCTTATGAAATATATTCTAGGAAAGGTAATTGTTAAAGCATAGGTACCAGTTAATATGTATTTTAAGGTTTATTTGGCTCAACAAATCTAATTTCCTTGATTATAATAATCATATTTCATTTCCAATCATAAATATAAAAAAAAAAAAAAACCTGTACCGCTGCAACCCATGAAGGGTGTTGGGTTCAGTATTTTTAGGGAATGTACTGTTACAAGGCCAACGGCTGTGCTGGGAGGGGGATCGAGCCAGGATCACACTCAACCACTATGTTTTCCCCCTTTAATCAATTATTTATTTGAGGGTACCCACTTTGTAGAGGCTGGGTGTGCCCCAGGAGGGTCTCCCTAGCCTATGGTTGCCCCACGGCCAATAAAACAGAATAAATAATTTTTCTGCCATGAGCCAGGATTCGAATCTGGGACCTTGGACATTGGAAGCTTAGTGCTCTAGCACTGAGCTCTCAATCATAAATATTTGATTTAAAGGTTCATTTCACTAGTTGTGAAATTATTTTTTTATGTAAATATTATGTAATCATGAGATTAATTATGTAACTGCTATGCCTAGCTGTTTAAGAGGATCTGAACAAGGATAAAATAATTATTGATACCAATAGGTTTTTTATCTGTTAGCCATTTTGCTTCCATTATGAGAAAGGGATGAAATAATAGTATTTTTAAACGTATTCTTTTTCATTCTTTATATGCTTTTAGCACCAGTTTTAATTAATAACTTTATAATGAAATAAAGTATGTTGTTGTTGTTTTTTACTTAAATTAGTAATTAATTATCTATTTCATAAATTAAGAGCATGGATTTTTTTTTAAGTAAGTATTTATTTGGTGCTTAATATTGCAGGGAAGCCATTACTGATGTTGCAAAGCGTGAAACGAGCTTATAAAGTTGATGGAAACCATCCACTGGTCCATGAGGCAGTAGTGAGATACAGTAAAAAAATGCTGCAATGGGAATCTGAGGGAAATCTTCCTACTTCTGTTTCTAAAGTAATTGCCATTCAAATGGAGCCTATATTAAAAGGCAGAACAGCTTTCCAAATTAATGATGAATACTTAAAAAAATATTATAATTCTCTTCCAGCAAGATTGCAAGGTAGAATATCATTTAATTATTTGAAACACTATACTAATTTTAGTTTCTAATAATGATGATTTTGTTTTTAAATGATTTATTGGAGAAACTGTAAGAAAAAAATTTTGAGTTTTTAAACACACAAAACTGATTTTGTCAATAGATCTAATTTTCGAGTTAGTTTTTTTTTTCTAACTTTATGTTTAAACATGTATTGAAAATTTTATGTTTAAACGTGTATTGTGTAGATCTATTTTGTCAATAGATCTAATTTTCGAGTTAGTTTTTTTTTTTTCTAACTTTATGTTTAAACGTGTTTTGAAAAGTAAAATTTCATTATTGTTCTTTGAGATTAAGAAAAATAACCCTGGAGTCCCTAAATCCTAATAATTTAAAAATAAAAGATCAATTTTGTAAATCACAGTGGGTATGAAAGAACTTATTTTTGAGCGAGGTATATTAACAAGCTCAGGCTCTCTCTATAAGATAGTCCAGGAACTGAAAAGGATAAGCAAACTTCACCCATAGCAGGAGGTGCCAAGACCTATTATCAATAATTAGTAACCTTTAACTTTACTGCTAGGTTTTATGTATTAAAAGAAGTTCCATCATGGTAATTAATTCAATGCACAACTTGCTACATTATTACTTATAACTTAGTAGTTTTTCACTTTCTTAAGCATGGTCTTAGTTACATTTGAAGATATAAATTGGTCAATCTCAAGTAAGGAGCAATTTTTCAGGTAAGTAAAAATTTTAAACTTGAGCATTTTATTGAGCCAAAAAACTGAAGATAAATTCAACATGGCCATAATTCCTCCTGAATACCATGCATAGTGCAACGCAACTCAGAATCAGACTTTCCAGCATTAATTTAAATTTGAAAGTAATGAGAGATTATGGCTATGGTAAATAGTAGTTACAATCATAAGTATGGAAATTTCAGTTCAGTTATGGAAGTTATGTTTTGGTCAAAGGTAATGATTTTGTGCATGTTCTGATGTGTATAAGTGTAAAGGATAATATTTGAATTTATTCTATCCAGTCTAATTAAAATATTATGAAATATGGAGCTCTCATATTATAGATGAGATAATTGACAGGAGAATCAGGAATGGTTTTTCCTTGGTGGGCAGTTACCCGTCCAAATACTCAGCATGCTGAAGAATGCTTATCTATTGTTTCTAAGTCCACTCAGCCAAAATGAGCTGGTTAAAATGTCTATAGAAACATCAAAACGTTGTTTGACTCAAACAAAATTTTATATTAATTTATATTTTAATAAACATGTTCAGAATTTATTATACCCACAATCATTGACCTCATGATAGGTAAGTTGTTGATTAAACTCATTCTATATTGCAAGCATTAGACAAATTTTACTGTAGCCTTCAATCACCCACTCTGTCAATATGAATCTAAAAAGAAAGTTTTTCATCATTGGAGTGGAAGTGTTTACTTGAAACTACAGAAAAAAGAAAACTATTAGGATAGGAGTCATCAAATAGATCTTGAGACATAACACCTTGTTGAGCAAGCTCAATGATAAGCTAGTGAAGAAGTACCGTTTGCTGTTGAAGAAGAGGTGATATAAATGACCTTCTTGTGGAAAAGGCTACTATTCAGTTTTTGTAGATGTGACTTTAATTATTTCTCATTTACACATACCATATGTATGTATACCATCCCTCAAGATTCTTCTCTACTATCCGTTACTATGTCTCAACAGCATTCCTATTCTTTTTCCAAACGTTTGATCAATACATAAACTGGAATAACTATATTTCTCTAATCAACCATGCAGCCAGACAAAGTCTGTTAAATATATATACTTTTATTACCATAGGGGACTAAATCTCCCAGAATAGAGATAAACATTTTATTTAAAAAAACAAAATATGGTACAGAGTAAATTGGATCTCAAGGTTATCAAAACATTAACAAAAAAAATGGAATTTTCTTTTTATATTAACTGTGAAATTGAATATTTAAATTTTTTTTTATCAATTCTTTTTTATTTTTTAATTATCTCAATTAAAATTAATTTGTATGGATTTATTTATTTGCAGCTGCTAGAGTTATGTATATGCTTGATAATTCAAAACAAAGAGAAGCAATAGATTTGGCCACTAATTTGGAAAGCTCTTTGGAAGGAATTTCAATTCAGGTACAATGTTCTATTGTAATTTATTTGTTATTTTTATATCCTTAGTATAAAAGTTATGTACTTATAAATAATAAAATTTTCTTAAGTGGAGTAATTGATTATCTCAATCATGAAAGAAAGATTAAGGGTCTAGTTTACTATAATATTTTTAAATTATGTTGTTTCCAGAACTGTATTGATGTTATAAACTCTCTTAAGGATGGAAGTTTTGGAAAATGCGATAATGAATTGAATGAATACAAATTGAAATGCCATGAAAAGTACCCTCTAGCAGTAGATTTCTTCCCTCCTGGTGCTGCAAAAACTCCAAGTATCAAATTATTGTTAGATAGAAATGAGACAAGCACAGATCATTGCATAGAGAATAGCAATAGTAACTGACATCTGTTTAAGTTTGGTAAGATAAATTAATAGTGTATTCATTATTTATTATATAACTAATAAAATATATTTCATTTTATCTTATGGTAACCCCAGAGAAGTAGGGTTTATTGAATTATACTGGACATTTTCATGCTGTTTTCATTTTATCAATAAAATTCCATTCACATCACACCATAATTAAAATTCAGGTCAACTTCACAGGCTCAACACATTAGCTACTGAGCATGGTATCTCTTAAATGTCTTTCCCCACAATATTGGTCCCTTGTGACTGATACTAGTTATAAGGCCAGAAATCGTAGGAGTGGACTCCAACGTCCGATGCTGTTTATATCACGAGTGAATTGATATGAATGAATGAGTGAATGATATTGAAAATGAATCAGTCTGGTCCCAGGCGTCTTACAGCTTTATATCAGATATAATGATTATTTACATTTGTATCTTTACATCTGTTCAAATATTTATAAAAATCACCATTTTAGAGATTTCTTAAGATAGGCAAAATTCGAAACAATCCTGGCCGTTTGGCAGTTAAGATGAATATCAGAACCCGGGAACATTTACTTGAGTTAATGTGTTAAATCCAGTTTTATCCGCTGATTAGCAAGACTTCATGAAGCCAGTTTGTTTCAGCTAACCCTTTTTATTACTTATTTCAGGGGGCCTGGCTATTGCAATTGCCCATTGCCGACGTGGAGAGAGATTTCCTCTCTCTGTTTTAAAATAAAAAAATTTCAAAGACTATAAGAATAATTATTTTTTGTCTATTAATAAAGCAATTAAATTAAGGACATATTGAATACAATAAAATTCAAATACTACATAATATAGAGCATCTTAAGAAATAAATTAAATTTTTCGAGGGAGATGTTGTCATTGTCTGGGAAAGTCAAATGTCTAAGGCCTGTTAGTATACTATATGTTATAGTGAATGGAAGGCCTAGTTGCAGACATATGTTTTGAATCATACATCAAGTTTTTTATAATGTTTTAGGAGTTTTTTTATTTATGTAGGCTTTAAAATCTTTCTTTCTAAATATATAAATAAAAAAACATTGAAAAATAATTTTTTTGTTTTTGACCACTGAAATGGTTGGCAGTGACCATTATCTATCTCTTCCAAAAGTTGCTTCTTGTGCTTTTTGTTGAAATTGCTAGCTGTGGCAGCCAATCCAACAGCAAGCTGGAAAAAACAAACCTAGGCTGCAAATCCTACTTGTTTGTCTTCCTCATAAATGATAAAATCTTTTCTTTTTTTTTGCCTTAATTTAATTATTTAACATTTATTTTATTTATTTATTTATTATTTTTTTTTTTTTGCAGGTTTTGAAATCTAAACTCATAAGAAAAACCAAGATTAGCCTCATTTGGCAGCTGTTTAAAGTGTTGATATGAACTAATTATCACTATCATGTTAACATTTTTAATATGTGTATTAAATTTAAAATAAAAAAAAAAACTGTATGATTGTAAAAATAATTGTGTATAAATTCTGTATAAAATTATGTTTTTTTTGTTTGTTTTTTATTTTTTTTTAATACTGTGCATGTTATTTTATATTGTTGACAGTTGAGTTGTCCCCCCCCCCTTTTTAATATCTGTTTATGCTGAAAGTTTATTGGTGTTTTTATACCAAAGACTGAAAATATTAATTATAGTAATAATAAATTAATTATGATATGAGAAGTGGTTTTTTTTTTCATCTTAACAAAAAATTATACTAGTTTTGTAATTTTTATTAAATATTTGTTCCTAATATATATATATATATATATATATATATATATATATATATATATTCTAATTTTTTTTTCTGGTAGTAACATATATCTCTGATTGTATGTTGTAATTCTTACTTGTAAAATAAATGTAGATTGTTGTTTTTCTACTTTAAAGTTTATTGTTTTAGTTATTTTCCTTACTTGCTGTTATAGAATACTCTTATGCATATAATTTTTTTAACCTTTCCTAAAATAACTATTATATTTCTAGTAAAGATATTTTGCCATATTGATCAATTTATATTATGAAATGCCACCAAGTTATAAATTTATAGCATTTCTTTCTTGGGTTAAAAAAAAAATCAGGAATTTTGAATATTTGAATCGTAATAATTATTTGAGATTATCTATTTACTCTTAAAATAACATTACTGCTGATTAACCTTTATAATACTGTAGAACCTTGATTATCCATGTGCACAGTTTACCATGCTCACTATTCTGAAAAAAATGAGTCACATAGTTCACTCATAACGACTAAACATCCTACATCATTTGTACTTTTTGGTTCTAAGATATTGAGTTATCCTCATTTCAGACAGCTAATTTCGAAATAGGCAGTTCTGCGAATGCACTAATCTATTATAAACCACCTGTTACTTCGTCAGCCACAAGTGATTAAATTACTAGTGAATTTAATCAGAAGATACAATGGAAGCAGCACCAACCCCCAGAGAGCCAAAACCTCCTCCAATATTTTTTTTTTTTTAATAATGCTTTATTTATTCTGGGACGAGTCCCTTTAGAATAATACAGAGAGACGAAAATGTGGGCTAAGGAGCCTCAGAGATACATAAACAAGAATATAGTTTGATTAAATAGTCAAAAAAAAGAATTATAAAATATATAAATAAATTTTAAAAAATAATAAGAGAAATTATAAGTTACTTTCTAATTTACATCAGTTAATAATAAAAAATAAAAAATTGAAAATAGACATGTAGTAAAAATAATAAAGAATGATCTAATAATTTATATACATATTTACAGTAGTAACTATTTACAATTTTATCAGGACTGGATGGATAAGAAATGATTAAACAGTTGGGATTTAAAGGGATTAGAAAGGGTTTTGGATTGATGGATGTGGGGAGGGATGGAGTTCCATAGGGAAGAGGATCGAATAATAAAAGATTTATCAAAAGCAGCGGTTCGGTGGGTCATTATATATAAATCTGAAGAATGGGAACGGGTATTGCGGGAGTGGACAGAGGATTTAAATTGAAGGACCGCGGGAGTGAATTACTTGGAAGAGGAAGGATGCCAGGAGATTCTGAGAGCATATTTACATTAAAATCGCCGGAGATGATGATATTGGAGTAGGAGGAAACCAGGTTGACAAAGGAGGGTTCAAAGAGTTGGTCAAATAGAACACGAGGAGGGCGGTAGACAACAACATACAGTAAAGGAGAGGAAAGAGAGGTAATTTCAACGAATAAATATTCAACGTGAGGGAGGTCATGAAAAGGAGACAGTAAGAGGATTTTGGCCTTGAGACTATTATTTACATATAGTCCGACACCACCTCCCATGCGATCAGATCTGTCATGACGTAGGAAAGAGAAATTTGGGAGGAAGGAATAAAAGGTTTCAGATACTGCTATTGTGTGGTAAAAATTATCGAGGAAATATTTTTGGAATTCATCAAAGTGGGCATTAAGGGATTATGCATTGAAGTGACAGGAATTTAGGATATTAGTAATAACTGAGATGTTGGGAAGGATAGGAAATTTGTTCGAAATATTAAAAATTTTCCTTTATTCTGTCAGCATCTCAATAAAATAATTGACTACGGTAAATACATATGCCATAGTAGAACCAATGACACCAAACTAATGCCGGATCCTCCGGTTACATACAGAAAAATTGCGAAATACTTAACAGAATCAAAGGCTGAATTCCACACGTATCAGTTATTTGAAGAGAGAGCACTGAGAGTAGTGATAAGATAAGTGATAAGTGACCCTTCAATTCCACCTGAAGAAATCAAAAATGAATTTACGGCTGTAGGCTTCAATATCCGCCAAATCAACAACGTTTATAAAGAAAATAAAGATATACCGGCCGTAAATAACAAAATATCACTACCAATATTTTTTGTGGACCTAGAGCGCACTCCAGGGGTCGAAAATATTTACAGTATTAATCGTTTTTACTATTCTAGTATAGTGGTTGAAAAACCATACAACAAAAGAGAGATAGTACAATGCCATAATTGTCAAACCTATGGCCATACAAGAAGCTACTACCATCGCTTACCTCAATGTGTGAAGTACGGACAACAGCACAGGTCTGAGGATTGTATCAAGTCTAGGCAAACTCCTGCTGTGTGCACACTATGCCACCAAAACCACCCAGCAAACTACAAGAGATGCCAAACGTATAAAATATTGAAATCAAGAACACAGACAACACTCAGACAGAAAGAGACCTCCAGGACTCCCAGACCACCAAGGCAACCCTCTAGACGTATACACAAAGTGTCTTTTGCTGAAATGCTGGGAGAAAACAAGAGAGGAGACCAAGAGTTGACGGGTTTTGAACGGAAGAAGAAAACGTAGATGGTTAAACTGTTTCGGTGTGGATATAGTACGGCGGGAAATTTGGGAGATGTGTGGTTTCCACGAGAGGGTTTGATCGAGGTTAACGCCAAGGTGGTATGGAAGGAGATAGTTGAGTTGTTCAGAAGAAGATTAGGAGGTGCTAAAAATGGATCTGAGGAGTGAGAGGGATCCAATCAGGATGGCTTTTTTCTTCTTCGTATTTAATGTGAGCTTATTAAGATTCATCCATGCGCTTATTCTATTGATGGAACTACAACATACTGGGAGCAATCGGTGAGAAAGGATTGGAACCACTTAAGGGCATTAGATGATAAGGAAATATTTTTAAGTTTGGTTAGGAGGATATTATGGTCAACTGAGTCGAATACTTTAGAAAAATCAGGATGGTGAGTTTCTGTCGGTCTAAGGCTGTGTGGAAATCTTGGGAGATTTTAATGAGGGCGGGATGAGTGGAGTAGTCTAAAATCAGACTGGAAGCAGGTCAAATGGTTATTTTGTTCGAGATATTGGGATAGTTGGGATTGTACGATTCGTTCTAAAGGTTTGGAAAGGTTAGATAACAGATAAATTGGATGGAAATCATTAGAGGTTATGGGGTTAGAGATTTTGTTCAGTGGACGAACAAAGACGGTTTTTCAGGTGCTGGGAAAAGTGGAACTTTGTAGTGAAAAATTATAGATATGATAAAAGATCGGGAAATCTGATGGAAGTGAGGATTTAATTAATTTAACTGGGATATTATCTGGTCCGAAATCTTTGGTTTGGGATTTGCAAATGGATTTAAGGAGGTCGTCAGGGGTAATATACGAAAAGAAAAATGATTTGGATTAAAGGGGGGATGCATGAGGGGTGGAGCTGGTGCTTGGAAAGAGGGATAGGATGAACAGGAGACAAAATGAGTGTTGAGTATGCCAGCTGATATAGAGGTAGTTTGGGTTTGTTTGCCTAAGGATAATTTACGGAGGATTGCCCACATAGTTTTGGAGTTTGGAGTGCTGGATAATGAATTGTTGGTAGTAGTGGGATTTGGTTCGGCCTTTCACGGATTGCGTACTGTTTCGAAGCAACTTGAAATTCGGGGAGTCGAGTGCGCTTAAATCTTTGTTTTGCTGCGTCTCTTCGTTTGACACAATTTTTTATCGCAGGCGTCAACCAAGGGGCTGTGGTGTACTTGATTGTCATGACATTAAGAGGAGCATGACGGTCTAGGATAATGAGCAGTTGATTGGTTAAAGTTTCTATCATAAAATCAACGGAGTATATGGAGTCCCATTGGATTTCGTCAAGAACGGGCGTCAAAGTTTCGGATGATAGGAGATTAAGGTCTCTGAAAGATATAAATCGGGGACAGAATAGAGGAACAGGAAAGGTCTAGGAGATCTATATGAGATCATGAGCAAACAAAAAAGGAACCTGTTGTGATGAGGCGAGGAGTTTATTAGAAGAGTCAATAGTCTGAGTATTGGGTGTGATGGTAGGGTTGTACGGGACTATATACAGATTAAGAGAGAAGAAGATATTTGATAAATAGGCTTGGTAAGAGGAAGGAAATAATAGGTTGGTATTGAGATCTCCGGAAAGAACAATATTAGAGTAGGAGGGCTCAGTTAGTAGAGGATGGTCTCGAGTGTTTCATCAAAGGGCACTCTAGGAGGTCGGTAGATAACACCAATGAGCAATAAATATGAGGAGGTGGATATTTCAGCAAAAAGATAATCGATATGTGGGGAGACGGAGAGAGGAGACAAAGCAAGGATTTTGGATTTCAGGCTATCATGGACAAAAACGGCTACTCCGCCTCCGATTCTATCTTTTCTATCGTGACGAAGAAGGGTATAGTTAAGGAGTGAACCTTGAGAGGATGTGATCATGGGTTTTAATCAAGTTTCAGAGACAGCGTTTAGATGGATATTCACACCTGAAGATTTTCATTGTTATGAATTATTTACGTTATATTAAGTAAATAAAACTTATTTATTTGTTCCAATTTTATTTATTAATTACTTTATTAATTAAACGTAAACATTAAATTCATATTAAATGTTGTTCAAAGAAATTTCCTTGAGCATTAAGACAGGCTCGGCATCTTTCTTCAACAGCAACAGTGGCAGAACGGCACTGGATATGTGTTATTGTTTCACAAGATTCAAATATCCTTCTTCGTAAGGAATTAAGGTCATTGACCAGACTTGTATAGACTTTTTGTTTAATGTCACCCCAAACAAAAAAATCCAATGGTGTAAGGTCTGGAAAGCTTACAGGCCAAGCCACTGATCCTGTATGGCCAATCCATTGATTGGGATAATTAACACTAAGCCATTGTCGTGGACCTCTTCCGTAATGTGCAGAACAACTATCTAATTGAAGCCTTCTCAGTTGTAGTGGAATATGTTCAACTAAATCA